TAATATAATATAAATCATCAAAAAGAAAAAAAAAGTGAAAATAATCAAATATATTTTGTATAAGAATGAGATTAATTTTATCATGCATGCTCTTAATTTTAGAAGTCATTTGATATTCATAAATACAACTAAATAATTAGAGAAGTAATTTAATATTATAATATAATTGTAAATATATAAAAATTTAATTGTATTGTTTATTAGTTTTTTTTTATATTTAGCTATATTGTCTACTATTTTAATTATATTGAAGGATAACATGTGACATAAAATTAAGAATGTGTGAAGTAATATTAATTAGCCCTATCATAAATAAAATATATTAGGATAGAAAATTTTTTCCCATATAAAATATATCAAAAAATCAATCTATGAATTACTTTTAAACTATTTGATTGTATGCTACATAAATAAATAGAGTTACATTGTTCCTTTTAAGTGAAATTTTTTAATTTCATAAATAGAAAAAATATTGAGTTTCATAAACATAAAATTTTCAAACAACAAATTCCTATCATTAACCATGCAAACTTTAAATTAAAATTCTTATCATGTCATATATTTTAAAATTAAATTAAAATGCAAAATTTATGTGTAAAATACTCCATACAACTTTGAAAATCATTGTAAACAAGTATGAATCTCAATGCATTTTGAATTGGAAACTTTCAAAATTAAATTTAAGCTAAACTCTAATTTTAAAAAACTCATAGTCAAACTGAGTATCTTGAAGAGACAAAAACAACAATGAGGTTAAATTAAGCGCTTAAAACATAATTAAAATTAAATTTTCATTGCATTACTTGGATGACTAAAAGATTTCCAAATATTGCGTGCTTATAGTCAAATTGAGTAGCTTAATGAGATGAATCCAACGAGACCAATATTACTTTTTCCACTAATCTAAAAACACTTAAATGCTTAACAAGCATTCCATAATCAAGAGAATCAATACAGATTGTTCGATGGAGTGTTTCAAAATTTTTCTAGATTTATGGAGAAAGCTACTCTCATAAATTTGAAAATATGCCCGCACACTGTGTGATGCCCAAAGATTTAATTTGGAAGAATTATCTATTTTATATCTCTATTTCTGATTACAAAATAATAAAACAAAAAAATATACAAAACAAAACTTAACTTGAATATTATAATTTACCTCACTCCACTAGGCCTTGACACCTTCTTCAAAAATATGTAATTAAAGTCACAATGTGAGCTAATAGCCCAGTTGGTTACTAAATCCCACAACGACAATTAATGCGAGATAATAAAAATATTATTCATGTAATCATTTCATTCATATCAATTCAAACATGTAATCATAAGAAAAAGTTGCAACCAATATGGATAGTGTCATTTCATTTGAGGAATGAGAATCAATATAAATAATGTATCGTATAATCAATAATCAATAGCTATACAAAGGATCAATATATTTTGTAATCAGTATGTTCTTTCATTCTTATACCCATATCCAATATAATATAATATGTTTGTTATGAATTTATATATGTCTATAGTTTATACTTTATGTCAATCTATATTTCATCTCATGCATATCAATTTACTTGTCATATTAAGTATTCTACAACTATTCTATGCATGCCTTGCAGTATTAATAGATATAAATCATATTCTCTATTAAATGCAATACATCATGTGCTTCATACATATCGTATGCCTTTGCATCAATTTTATCAGTATTATCAGTTCTATCATATGTTTGTATTAATCATATCACATATATATATATAGCTACCTATGATATTTTTTGTATCAAGTTTTGTAGGTCTTTAGACCAAATAAGAAACAGTCTCAATCGTATCAATCATGATATGATGCCAAAAAGCAATCTCATATTATATAGCATAAGTAAGGTGACTTTCATGTAAGAAGTCATCACGTTCTGCCCATTGACATATCATATTAGTCATTATTCTTATACCTCCAATTTTATATCATTTAGGATTACACCATAAATCTTATTTAAAGGAAAGCCCATCGATTACCCTCCTGTAAAGGTGATATGTCTCCAACCAATCTGAATAAGTCAAGGTGATATGTCTCCAACCAATCTGAATAAGTCAATTATTTTTAGTCAATTTTTCTTGCTTTTACACATTTTACATCATGTATATCATAATAACATGCATCATATACACATCATATGAAATAATTATAGCATGTAGATCTATCCAGTATGCTTGTATTTTATCAAAATGCATATTATACCAAATTAATAATAAATTTATGCAAATTATGTATCTAATGTCAAGATGCACTATACCGACTCCTAATCATTTTATACTTAGATTTATTCTACTTATTTTAAAAAAAATGTCATGTATGCAAAACTAACAAGTGAAATCTCAATATAAACCATTCAAAATACTCATAATGATAATATTTATCACATACTAAAAGTTACATGGCGAAAGTTCACTAAAATGAAAGATATTGCATTTTTATCAATTCAGGAGGGCGAAAATAGGTTAAACCCAAAATCACTAAAAAGAGAAATAGGGTTAAGATTACCTATCACAATTAGAGCACTTTTCAAAACTAAAATGATAGAAAATATCAGCTAGATTTTCGCTTTATATCTCCTTTTTTTTCTTCTCTCTCTTCCTATCTCTTCCCTTCACTAAGGTGTCAAAATCGGGTTGCAAGTCTGGTTCAAGTCAAACCCAACATTGACCCACCACTAAATGAGTTGACCCGAACTAGACCCATTTTTGCAGACGGGTCATAAATGTCAACCCAGATCGGACCAGTCAAGTTTCTAGGTTCATCCGACCCGACCCGAAATGACAAAAAGGAAAGTCATCGATGGAGGCAAAGAACTGCAAGTTGTCGTGAGTTCCAAGATGACAGGAAGGAACGGTGAGCCATTGTGACTTCATATCCAACAGAAGAATGGTGAGCTGTCGTGAACTCGTGACTTTCTAACTGATCGACTGGAAGGAACGTCATCGAAGGAGGCAAAAAATGGGGAGCTATTGTGACTTTCGAGTCAACATGAAGGAACAACGAAATGTTAAACTTCCAATACAACTAAAGAACGTTGAACGATATATGAACTTTCTGCTATTGTGATTTCTAAGTCGAGAGGAAGGAAGGACATCGTCAAAGGAGTCTGAACTCGATCAACCAGTTAGGGCTTATGGGTGGAATCGCCGAATGCGAGGACAGACCAACATTGCACTTGTACTCCTGTGCTGGTTGATTTAGGTCAACTTCAAGTTAGCAGGTTGACTCGAACGAGACTCATTTTTTTAAACAGGTCGAATTCTGGAACCCGAACTCGAACCCCGACTTGTTTGCCAAACGGGTTAACTCTAACCTAAAATTTTTTGGGTTATGTCAAATATTGACACTCCTACATTCTCTCTCTCTCTCTCTCTCTCTCTCTCTCTCTCTCTCTCTCTCTCTCTCTCTCTCGCGTTTATGAAATGAAATGGGGGAGGAAATGGCTTAGTCGAGGGTTTTAATATAATGCTTTTAGACATTTTATTTAAGAAAAATAAAATTTCAAATCTAGCACCACAACACTCCAGGTCCTAGTGTCATGCGCTCTCTCAAATCCCAGAAAACCTGAAAGCTTGGCGATATTGTGCTCGATCGCAAAACTAAAACTTTCATATTAATTCATTTTTAAACTTTGGGTTATTACACATTGTACATGATGGGGAACTTGGAACTTGAAATTTTGTTTTTGAGATTCAGAAGAACTTAGAGGCTCTAAGAATTCTGGACCTCCACTCAAGCACCACCATTTAGCCTACCATCGATGTCGAACCATCGCCCAACCACACCATTTAAGATCACTTGATCGTAGCCATCAGACTAGTGATCGACCGTCACCATCGAAATGTCGTCGGACCATCGCCGTTAGAATGCCACCTGACCACTCAATAGCCTTCATCAAAATACCTCTCAATCAATGTCAATGGACCCCTACTTGACAAACATCATTTAAACGCAACCCAACCAACATCTTCAAAATACTCTCACCCAATTATGATTTTCTGACCACTGCTACTAAATAATGATCCTCCGACCACCGTTGCTCGACTACATTACTTTGCCTTATAGTTTTTTTTATCCATTATTAGATGGATACATTAATGCTCGCTAACTTTATGACCTATATCATCGCTAATAATGTCAACTTATGTTATTGTTTATAAGATCGATACATAACATCGACAACAACTCTAAATCCCCATATTAGTGGGATTTATGCTAGTGGTACAATCAAATAAACAAACAATAATGATCTCCTTAAGACAACTTTCATGTCTTAGGGCCTTCCAACTTAGACCATATGATATGTTATGTAAATTGTATGTTTAGCATATTGAATAAATACCTCCCACGAGAAAGGGCAATCAATTGCAATCAATAAAAAACACTATTAAAATCATTTTAATCAGACTAAGCCTCATATTTTTTTTATCTTTCTTGAAATTTTCACCTAAAAAACATTTACATCTTTTATAATTTTTATACTACTTTATTATCCACATTTGTACTAGATATTCATATAAATGCTAAGATAAAAAGCCCTTCATCTCCCCACTACTATGAGAGGCTTGAGTTTCCACCCATAACAAATCTTGGTCATTCATTTTTTTTTTAAAATTATCTTGTTCCTTCATTATATTATAAATCATTAATAAATTTAAAAAATAATACTTAAGTAATTTAATGCCCCTTAAATACACCTCATCAAATTTGATTTTAATTCTTTCTAAATGCTTGTGTTTTCCTCCGTTTCATTTAATTAATAACTGCATGACGTTTTAATTGTATTTAAGTAAGAACTCATTGTTGGAATGCCAAAGGTTTTAATTGCATTTATTCTCATTTTATTTGTACATTTAATTTTTTTAAAACTTATTTAATTAAATGCATGACGTTTTAAATTTTAATTGCATTTAAATAAGAGCT